TGTGTGTAGCCAAAATTTGCGAAACACGTATAAATGCTCCCACTCAGTTTGTGCTGATTTGTCTTTCAGAGGATATAACACGTTATATACATCTTGACACGCCATCAAATACGAGACAGACATAAGCACTTATCGTACATCGGGTGTTCAGACTTAGGCATCTCAACCAAATCAATGGTAACCCGGCGTCACGGTTCGTGTTCAGATACCCTTCTCATATGAGTAAACCCGTGGCGCTTGATTCAGCTGACTTCGAACTGATGTGATACACTTGGGATAAAATATGCCTAATTCCGAGTGTACAATCCAGTATCTTTGATTTTTCTTCTTCCCGATACTCGCCTTATTCATATGCTTAAAAGCATGGCTCTGTGTTAATCATGTCAGGATAGCTGCCTCAGATGTTTCTGTAATTGTAACTCAGGGGATGAGGATTCAATAGTATCATCACTTGGACTTGAAGGCTCTTTAGTCCAGCCAGGCGCGAATGCTCTAAGGTATGTATACGGCTGATATTGTTTCTGAATTGGACAGTAGTATAATAGTATAATTTTGCAAAGTCGTTCATAATCTTTCACAGTAGCCTAGTCTCAGCTTAGTAAGCAATAGTTCTGTCTGTAAGAACACATGCAATCTAGTTGTAGAATGCATTTGCTAGTGATGAGCTCCTTATTTATTTTGTAGCTTCAGCTGTTTGTTTCTCACCAGCAACAGATACTGCCAGTCTTGTGTCGGTTTATGTGCCTTGTCTTGAGACCTTGGTGTCAACGACGTGATATCAAGAAGAGAATCTAATTTGTTACCTTTCTTTTGAAGGTTTCTGATGACGTTCACTTGGTTGTGCCAACTAAACCAGTTCGACACTTAGTATGCCGCCAAGGCGCCTTTGAACTGCTGGGATGCCCTAGTATAGAAAGGTATCTACTGTATTTTGTTAGAATTGGCTCACGTTGAATCATAGATGTATTAGTTTGTCGAGCCAATTATACATTTGAATGTCCACAAGAGCAACTTAAGATTATGAAGCAGTAAATTTAGCGAATGGCTGTACCAACCAACCTAGTATAGGTTGGTTATCTGAAACGTTCAACTAAATTACTACAAAACTGGAAAGTGTCGCGAGTACACAACTCGAAAAGTGTCGCGAGTACACAACTCGATCTCAGTCCGCACGATCTGCACCTAGGTGGATTCTACTTGCAATGGTAGCATCCTGTATATATATACACATTTCAACAACTGTGGGACTAGCAACCACGGTAAATTGACCTATGCGCTCTCGTGTGGAAACAATCTTTGGAACATGTCACCTTCTGGATGTCGCTAGAGTTAGGTATCACAGCAGATATGCAATATGATGTGCAGCAAACATATTTATGGTGTGTAGATATATATGTTGAGCCATCTAGGATTGAATTTTCAACCCGGAGTGTATCTAGTAGTTCTTTTTTCATCACCTTGTCAAAGTCTGGCACAAAAGTGACAACACGTCTAGATGATTATTGTATAAACTAGAAAATTAAAATATGCTTCTCAAAGAAAACTTTATAACCGTATTGACATGCCACCAATTAAATAACTGTGGTACAGTTTTGGTTTCATGTTCTGTATGTACTGCAACAATGATTCTGATCACATAGTACATTAAAATGCATACCATACTAATTGCGCCACAATTCTGTGATAATTTTAGAAATAAGATACAAAAGTAATATCACACACGGACCGTGGGGTTGTTGCATCGTCATAATTATTATTTATGGTTTATCATAGTTATTGTGAATAGTCACGGCTAAACATCACACACCATGTATATAGCTATTAAGAAAACAAGTGCTATTTTAACAGTAGCAAAAAGCTCTTTCACTTTGTGTATAGCGAAGTAGTCGATTTGTAACGAATATCTTCCTGCTGCTACAGACACAATTGTTGTACATTAACTTCGGTTTCCCCTCAATTATTTGATACAGAGCGCCTGAGTAAAGTACTCCTCTGGTTATAATTGAACATAAAGTCATGATATAACAATGATGTATCATCTTGTCATAACTCATGACCTTGGGTTTTTTTTGGCAAGATGATGTTTTTACTGGAGAAGAGATAGTCGAAACTATATCTACGGTGGCTTCAGATAGATTACGTTCGCCGATGGTTCTTAAGCAATGTTTGCTTTCGACAGAATAGAAGAAGACAGTGGTTTGTATTCACAGATAGGTTTATGGATACACACAACGCCTCTTTTATAGGTGCAGCAGTCAAATGCTCTATTTTTCATTTTTACACTGCGACAGCACTGTGCATTGTCATGTTATAGCCAGCAGGTCAGCATAGCAAAATCCTTTAAATAGCCCTCGTAAAGAAATTCCAAGCAGTTTGTTTAATCTATGTGATAGTTTCCAACGACTGAGCGAAATCAAGCTTCAGTCATCAATAGTCCGAATTGTCGCACAGCAACATGCATGATATTAGGAATCTCAGTGACAGCTTACCATTGGTATCAGACATGGGTTTGCATACTTCAGTAAACATATCAGAACACGTCCTGAAAGGTGGCGATGATAGCTCTCTCACGTGTCTTGCTTTGCGTTGTTCATCCTTGCCTTGCTATTATCCTTGAAAACCTAATCTGCAAAGATAAATTAACGTAGTGACAACTTTGAATTTGTTATACAGGTTGTATCACTCTCTGTATAACGCACAAATTCAATATAATCCTCTAGGTACAAAATCACAAAAATCAAATTTCACTTTTATAGTATAACCCTCTGGAGGACAGATCTCTCTCTGAAAATATCGTTTCGGAGGAGAAGAATGATTACCGTTGCCTTTTCCTTCAGAGGGTCACTATTTTATATGAAGTCAGAAACTCTAAAGTCTAAACTACTGCCAACTGACAGAGCTCTTTGCAGCCAATAGAGAAACTCTTCTTAGAACCCATTCTTATCGATCAACCTCGGATGTTCATTTCTAAGCGCAGAAAGTGTCTACTAGATATCACAATATACGACACAAATAATTTACAACGCACACTCATATACACAGCTACCACAACAGCACTTATACCCTGCGGGAAGTAGGAATTGATAAAAGTTCAAAGACTGCTCTTGAAAGACAAATACCATCTTCTGTAACATTACACAAACAGTACCTGTGTTTCCAAGTTCGAACGCATGAGACATTTTTTTTTCATAGGTTATATCCAGAAGTTTGTCCCCCCTTACCTTTATCGCCACATCATTCTCCTTCTTGCTATTGCCATCGTCTCCAAGATCAGTACCTCTTTTTATCCCACTATCATCCTCGTCGTCCGACTGTTGCTTCTTATTGCCATCTTTTTGCCTTTTTTTTCTTCATGTAGTATAAACATGTATTCTTTGATTTAGCTGAACAACGCGGGGTTGTTCTCAATGGTGTTGTATCAACAAACATCGACAGCTTCACCACTTTTATTTGTATTACTGTGTTCTTACTGACCATTGTAACAACTTCAAGTATACAACCAAGCTTATACAACTCGAATATAATTGATCATTGTTGTCCTGTTGTGGTCAAAATCGAGTCTGTTGCACACACATACAAAGTTGATAGCATGACACAACGATATATGTGTTGCTTATATGGTGTATGTTGGTATCTCATGGCAGTATGTAGTATCGGTTACTTATGTGACATATGTTGGTATGGTAGTACGTGATGTGTGGTAAACCCTTATCACGTGCTTTTTTTTAATTGTGAAAAATAATGTTGGCTATAGGGGAGTTGAGTGACAGAGGCGTTTATATTGAGCGGTGAGCGGCAGAGGTGTTTATTTTCAGAGGTGTACGAAAGTACTGGGTTTGGGCAGCGGTGTACATCAGTGTTGGGTGCAAGTGGCGGTGAACAAGAATGTTATTATGTTAGGCATGATTGGCGGTGTACGAGAATGTTAGGCATAATTTTTATATATACCAGGCTATGAATTGGCGGTGTACGAAAATGCTAAGCATATCGGTGGTGTGCGAGATTGTTAGGTTTAACGGCGGGAGTCTTCATTGTAGGCATATCATTGGTGTACGAGAATGCTAGGCGTGTAAAACAAGCTTTTTGAGTTCTGAATACGTACTTCTTTCTGATTACAAATTTTGTTCTCTGTAGTAGCAGTAGTATAGAACACCTAGACCTGAGAAAGAGGACTGATTCTACCCTGCCCTACTCCGAGGACCAGGACCGATATTTTATATTAGGACAATCCACACCATGCGCGGACTGTGAGCCTAGGACCATCCTATGCCAATATAGTCGACGACTAGATCAGGAGATCAGTCCTTTGCACACTAGTCCAGTAGATGTGACCGAGCATCTAGCTTAGTTAAACCCTAGTAAATAAGTGTACAGTCTACTACAACTAAGCTCTAGCCACATATACTAGACTACCATATAAAATTTTCTTAGTTTCTTTATCCGATCCAGTGGTTCCCTTCAAAAATTCGATCTGATTTCACTTATTTCACGATTCCTTCGCTCCACAAGATTTTTTTATTAAATTTCCCCAGCTTACAATTCATTAGTCCTTGCAGCATGGTCTCTTTCCAACCAATCACCGGCGGCAATATTCTCCATAATGCCCGCCGAGCACCATCGATGTACTATGGTCGCCGCAACAGGCCCATCCTGCCCTTCTTCGAGAATGGGAGATGGAAAAGTCCCGAAAGGAGTTTACACGTTTGCCCTCTGAAGCAGCAAAGGTGGCCCATTTTCTGCAATTTCTAGACCAACCCATACAGATAAAGTTGATGGCAGCACTTGGCACTGAGGCAACAGTTACTGAGGTGTAGCACTGGCACATTGCTCATAATGGAAGCGCAGCGCACCTCACGAAGCTCGAACATAACACAGAGCTCCTTGAAGAGGTACGAAAACTTAATACGTATCCTGTCAGACCTCGCTAAGCATGGGATTCTTTCAGCCCTGTACCAACTTGATGAACAACTACCCCAGTACGACGTAATCGCAGAGGTGGAATGGTAGCCCAAGCGTTTAATGGCAAGACAGTCAACGAGTCTTTTCAACTGGAGGAAGCACCAGTCTTACCGCAAGTGGTGCTGGATTCACGGCTCACGGCGATGCGTGTACCAAATATCGTACTTCCCGACGACCGTCAGCAGATGAGTGCTGGGAAGCGTGGGACAACAACAATCGACAGGGCGGATCCTGCTTTTAAGCGATCCCACCGATGGGATGTTGTTGCCAGCCTACGTACAGGCGATGGGAAGCTTATTCATCCGTCACGTGTGGCGACTACCAGCACAGCGCCTGCCACTGGCCCTACACCACAACCAGTGATTGGTAAAGAGCCGGCATTCCAACATTCCATGCTAAAACCAAAGCATGATGCTGGCCCACAACTTGTGGCCGATTACTGGTCCGCTTATGACACGGACTTACAACACCGTCGGATGGATGAGGCGACACCACACACGCTCTTGCCCTACCCAGATCTCAACATAATTGATGCATGGCTACCGGAGGCCATTGAGCCCCCAAACCGTGTATCTCTGGGAGGGTCCTTTTATTGATGTCCCAGGTATTGGGTGGCAGCCAGCAGAAGACCGTGGGCGGAGTATGTCACCGTGTTTCTCCAATCTTTAATATAGGCAGCGTAGTCAATCTAGGGTTAGGGAATACCGGGACAAAGCATCGAAGGGCAGGAGCTTGAGTAATGGCAGCGGCTACCAGTCAGAGTCCGAGCATAGGTATGGCAATGGTAGAGGTCAGTCTTTCGGCAATGGGGGGCCACGATAACCGCAACCAAGCGAGTGGCCATTCCCGGTCGGGCTCACATGATAGGCTAGCAGTAGCAACATATACAAAATGCCACTTGCGCCATAGGGACCCCATGTGCCCTATTTGCCATACGTGTAAACATGTTGAGCACTACTCCAATAAATGTCCCAGCAAGGCGGTCGCAGCGGCAGCAACGATTACAGCAGCGGTTATATGCGGCACATCAGTTCTTGGTGTGAATATTCCACATAAGATGTGATCCGACGTGGTTGGAACCAGTAATAGCGGCAGCATATTGTGAAGATGAAGATGTCAATGTGTATGTCGACACTCAAGGGTCACGACCTGCTATGATCACCCGTGCATTTGCATAACAACTTTTCCAGCAGTCTATGTGGAAGGCTTTGGCGGCGATGGCACCACTCTCTCACTCTATGTCTTAGCAGGAAATGGTTCTGCTACCCTTTTCGAAACAGCTATGGTCGAGTTATATGTCGCGGACAACTGGATTTCCAACGACTGTGCTATCCTATTTGGGTTCGACCACATGCAAGCCAATCTCATAGGTACTACCTGGGACCGCACCCACCAACCACCATTGTTCCAACTGCAACTTCTCCGGACCAGCTACCCGGTTAGGTTCCTGGTGCCACGTTTGCCGGAGGTAATCGCCAACATCGATACACCGCGGGTTTTCGGGTCACAGGTATCCGAGAAGCCACAAGAGTATAATCTTAGGAACTTAGAGCGACTTCGTAAGATACTCAATAAGTCCCCAGAGGAACTGTAACTCCATTGTAGCCAGTATAATGAAGCAGTGCGAAGTATATTAATGATGTAAAGTTTTTTTTCTCTCCAATATTTCCAAAATGTTCTAAATTTACTTTGATGGCTCCAATAGCCTGAGTATTTGGTCTGACTCATTTACTTGAACCTATTTGAAACTAAATTTTATAATCTCTGAACTACTACTTATAGGTTTTGGTCTTCCCGCCAATCTCCAAAATCCAATAAGTCTTTTTCCTTTTTTTAACTTTTCTTCTTATGGAACTTTATTTATTTTAGCTAATGTATTAACTTGACTTATGTTCTTATGTCTATCTACAAAATAGACATGTGGTCATGAACACTTAGTACTTCTAGTGAAAATTCTTCAATAAAGAACAGCTAGAGGTACGTCCTGTGTGATCGAGGATATTAAGGCTCTTACCAAGAGGCAGTCCCGATCATTCTTATGTAATTTTCGGTCTATCAAGGCGATATTAACGCCTTAGAGTAGTTAAACGCTTAGGTTAAGTCTAAGTATAGTTAAATTCGAAATAAATAACTGAAATGAGTCTTTTAGTAAAGTTAGATATGCCTCGTGAAAACAGCAATATTCTGAGGGATTGTGAGGCTGAGACATTGCCTATATATAATCATCTCAGTACTGTTTTCGCCGAAGGGGTTTTATTTAGGTTTTTGTTGTCGCTATATTAGAAACTATGGTATGTTTCGTTGGGGCGAATCCAAGAGACTCATAAAATCCTATCTTTAGAAAAAAGAAAAGAACAAAAAGAAAAATATTCTTGATGTCCATAGTTATTGCATTAACCAATAGCTTGCCACTTATCAAGAATTATCGACTTAGCCTTCATCAGACTGGCACATCTGGTTGGCTGAACGGAGGTTAAACTAGGTAACGCTAATAGTCCTTAGAAACCTATGTTCGGTTGAGCCATTTCGCTACCGAAGTATTCAGATATAAATAGATTTGTAAAGTAAATGTAGTTATATTAATAGAACTGGACCATATCTTATGTTTGGTGTTTTACTGGGGCCTTTTAATGGTCTTGTCCAAATATCTGATATGTAAAATGGAAAAGGTATTAATTAATAAAACAGTTAAAACCCATTTAGGAAACATAAGTTCCTCGTACTATTAAGAGCACGTTTATAGTTTACGTACTGCTTAAGAGTACGTTTATAACATAGAGTCTAATGTGGAGGCTCGGCTATTACACAGCCCCCACCCAGCTTTGAAATCCAAGAGAGACTAGTTGCTCACTGAAGCCGATTTTGGATTTACAAAGCGAGAAGGAAAAACGGGTCGAAAACATTAAGTAGCATAACGTATAGTTAATGTTTCTCATG